GATGCAGTCAGGGAAACACAGGGCACAAGTACCCTAAAAACAACAGTCAAGTATCCTAAGGAAACTAAATTAGTAAAAGACTAACTTCACATTGTACGACGTGTCAGGCATTGGCCGATAAAATAAAGCTTTCAATACCAAAATTTCAAAACTTGCTGTTCTAATGTAGAATAAAATTCAAGACTTTTACAGGTAAAATAAACAACTTGCTGATCAGAATACTAATTTGGGAAGTGGGAGAGTGTGACCAGGCAGAGCAGAGGTATGCATCTTAGCCTCCTTACCTTTCCTTTCAAAACTCTACTAATTTCTCTCATATTGGAATCTGTTTCTTCCCACAAAAATATTTCAGTTTCAGTATTTATTTTCTTTTTCTAACAGAGGAATCATTCCTGCATGCCTGGAACTGTCATTTACTGCCTGGTTAAATTTATCCTTTGGTTTCCACAGAAGACAACATCTAAGACATGCTGACATTCCAGAAAACAGTAGGAGATACCACATCCTCTCCTGAGGTATTCATGCATTTGCTGCAGGAAGTCATAGGTTCCTGTACCCTTCTTCTGACTGTGAATATAAGGCATGAGTAGTGCATACCATTTTAAAGGATAAACAAGCACATATTATCAACATTGTTGATACAGTAGAAGTGAAGGACAAATATATTTTATTTACTTTAGGATTTATACCTAGAACTAGCAATATTCTGTCAGTAGCACAAAGGAGCATAGTAGATTGGTATTCATCTCACACCATTTCTGGCAAGAACCAACGACTGGTCAGCAGGCCAAATGCACTGAGTCCAGCTCATACCGTCATTCCCAAATTCTGCACAGTGTCATGCACTGACCTCTATGTCGCTGCTAACTGAAAATCAAACAGTCTGGGTATGAACAAGAATGCTCTACAGATAGCTTTTTTCTGCTAGTGTGACACTAATGGCTTCTCCAGCATTTTGTTCTTGCCCAGACCTAAGTTTGTCTTCTGAGCCAACACTTGGTCCTGTACCCAGCCTCAGCACTTCTGAGACCTACCAGCTCCCTTACACAGTGACACGCTCAAACTAGCTGATTACTGCAGCAGAACTCAGAATCAGCCAGACTAGTTACAACTAAAAGCACCGCTATAGTTACCTTGAATTAATACAAGGCCACAGAAACTCTAAAAGGCATGGTTTCACTCTCCAATGCAAGGTACTCTTAGCAGAGCTAGCCTGGAGCACTTGTCCACAATTTTAACTGAATTTACTTTAATATAGACTTAATTCAGAGTCAAAATGCAAGATGTTAGATGTTCAGTGGTTTGAGTCACAGATATAAGCCTACATTAATAGAATGCAACTCGTTAATTATTTTCCCCAGGGGGTATCTAGAGTCAGGGCACATCTTTCTTTCACAAACAATTTTTTTTTACTCTGAAAAACTCTGAGTTTTAGCTTTCCTGTATTTTGGCCTGGACAATGATAAATTACAGTGACGTTTTGCAGGAAATGCCGCAAAGGGTGTTAGTTCATTGGAAACATTAATATTCCTTCTAGCAAAGCTTCACTCAAAATATCACTTTCTCTGTGCTACATTTGGCTCAGATTCCTATTCCAAATTACATACATAGAGCACTAAAAAGTGCAGAATGGGGATTTTTTTTCTGAAATGGTTGCATTACAAAATTCTTAGCAAAATATTACTACAGTCAAAGTTTTGAATGTTTTTTGTCATTAAAAAGTTGTTTTATCCTAGAGCTTGTAAACAAATGATATGGTAATGTATTACAGAGCACTGAGTAAGCTTTGAACTTAAAAAAGAAAAAAAAGTGATCTTCCCTGATCATCCTTAGACTTCCAGATACACACACGAAACTGAAAGGGCAGATGGGGAAAGACCACTTCTCATCACACCTCACAGTGCATATTCTCATCTTTCACTTCATTCCTTCCACCCTTTGGCTGAGAAACAGCCCTGCTTTCAGAAGCCATGCAGAGATGCTCTTTGGTAAGAAACTACTACTGTTACAGGAGCACATTTACACAGAAGTCTCCTTGTTCAGAGCAGCTCCTAGTAAAATTCCACCAAAATCTCTACTGTTCAGTACTTTTGCAGAGGCCTAAATGTACAGGTACTTTCTCAAAGATGTTTTACCTCTCCTGTAATTGTGGTTCACTTTCCTCTAATAGAGACAATGGGATTCCTTTCACTCTGAAGTTTCCTCTGAGTTATACCTTACATACATCAAAAATGCTTCAGGATCAGCTTTAGCTTACATACAGATAATTGTACCTGGTACTTTTAGATATCTGCTGAAGAGTTTCAAGGGTTTTCTTTCTTTGTCAACTACACAGAGCCTAAGAACATATCTGGCAAAGTATGGGGAAAGAACCCATGAAAGAAAGGTCGGTCTCATAAGCTTTTTCAAGGAGCCTTGAAAAATGTAGGGTTCGTTGCCCCATGCAGTGCTCGAATTATTTCAACCTGGTGCTCCTGACCAGAAGTCCCTGGATCTTTTTCTGAAGGGCTATTAAGAGTCAGATGGAGCTATGCAAAGAAAAACTGCATTGTGACATAGAAAGCCCACAATGAAAAAGTAAAGCTATATCCAAAGGTCTCACAGTGTGCAAACAGCCTATGGCCTGCTTCACTGACAGCTACTTTAAAATAATAAGCTATATGCATGTCACATAGCCCCGATCACATTCACCTAGATTACATCAGATTCAGGGGTGCTGGGCAGTAAGGCTACAGTGGAGATTAAAGAGATTCAAGTCACAGATGGGATTTTTTTCACAGCATTTACATTCTCTTTGGGTTACTTGCCTTTCCATGCCGAGAGACCACAAGTTCAACCAGAGCAAAGAAGGAAAACTTGAAAGATGCAGTGACAATTCAGCAGTCTCTATTGTTGCCCAATTACAAATGAGCTATGGAAATGATATTGCCCAAAAAGAGCATTGCAAGATGTATCATTCCCTTTTAACAAATTTATTTGTAGCTGCTTATGTGTGAGACTGCTTCTCAGTTTCTTAGGAAGCTCTTCTCATTCTCTTAATAGACACGTAGTGCACAGCGCTAAACAAAACAGGACTGATGCAAGTATCAAGCTGAGACCTTTTTGTTCAAGTGAATCTTCTGATGTGCTATTTCATCTGAAGCACTCTTCAGTTACAAGCAAACTACAAGAAAAGATTTCTGCTCTTTTACTGATCTTCTGATCTCCGTTTTATTGGTTTTATCAGTTGTGCTTAGCTTTTGCAGGTAAAGATCAATAACCCATAATTAAATACCTTTCCCATCATCCTTGAATAACGTTGCCAGTACTCTGCAAGCCTGGAGAAGCTACAGGAAGCTTCTGCCATTGGTAGAATCTTCATCTCCAACTCAGAAAAATGTCATCTTAGCCCCACTTGTCTAAATTACCTCTTCAGCAGAAGAAATGCTAAGAATTCAAACCATTGTGCAAAACACTGCAGAATATGCTCAAGAACAAACATAAGATTTCATTGAAAATAAGCCACTTCCAATTACTTGACATTAGTCTCCCTTTGGTTTCCAGTTTCTATTTCCCAAAGATAACTTTAAAACCTGAGTTTCTGCAAAGGCCAGCTGATTTTAAAAGAACACCCTGCACAACAGAACCGGCTGACATATTTTCTTGTTTGAACATGGCACCGATTCAACTAAATCGCCCTTTTCAGTCTTTTTACTGCTTAATCAGTCTTTTCAGTCATTCTTGCCAGTCACCACCCATGTGGTAAACACAGAGCTTTCAATTGGCTGGCAAAGCTTTAATTTCAGAGCGACAAAACAAAGAGGTCCTGTGTGCTACCATCATCAATGGAATCACGTCACAGCTTTCTCCTACCTCGTTTCAACACTGTTCTCCTTGAATGTGACTGCTGAATGTGGCAACTTAACAGACTGTATGAAAGCACCACTGACAACGTTGTACACGTACTTATTAAAAGTATTTTTCCTTTAGTAGTAGTTTCCTATAGTGAAATGTATCTTTTCAGCAGCTCACAATATTGTGATTCAAAATGTACGTCTATAAACTGCCCACTGAAGACTGAGAAAGTATGTCTTCATCTCAGAAGGGATTAGAACAGATGTGTTACACCACAGAACACACTGTACTGCATAAGCCTCACTGTATTCAGTAAAAACAAAAGAACAAAACCATTCATCTCCCAGAAAACCGCATAGCACAGCATGCTGAGCCTGAGACAAATCTGGATGAGTAACCCAGATTTTTTTTTACTTTAATAAAACAGAAAAATAATGGAGAAAAGAATGTCCAATTGTCCAATCTGAACTGCCTAAATGTGTTTGCGTTCCCTTGTTGCCACATGTTGTTCTTCTGCCAGGTCCTACCCATTCACCAGCTACCATTTGTGCAGAATGCAGATGCACAGAGCACAAACCAAAATGAAGATGTAATAACAGAAATTCTTATAGATCACCTGTATGGGTGACCAGGAGAGAGATCTCTGCTGAGAAATATCCAGCCATCTCCTGAGGAAGGGGCAAAAAATTGGACGTACGTGAAGGAGCACACTCTGCATCAGATATATTGCATTAGAGTCCACAGCCCTTTAAGGCCCAAGCATTGCTCCCTGAGGTGAGAAAACTGAGGCTATAATCCTGCCTTCAGCAGGATCTGGGCTCCTTGGAGGCAGGAATTCCTCTCAGCAGGAATTTGTGCTCTCTCCAAGGTGAGGTTTTGCTGCCTCAAAGACAGACACCCATCTCCTACTTCCTTCTGTGGTCAGAATGGGATCGACATTCAAAAGCAGGCACTTAACACACCTACATCACTCCCATTTTGAGCAGAGTGCAAAGTACTCCACAAATTTTCCCCCTCCTCTTAGTAGTAAGAGGTTAAGAACTGCATAGGAACTCTTCAGCCAAGCAAAAAGACAGCTTGTGACTACACTGGGATCACTGCCTGTGTATTTACAGGCATTAAGACAGGCAAAGCCTTCGTTTAGGTAATTTCAAGTAAACTGTGCGTACACACAGACATATTTTATTTATTGAGTAGTGCAGTGCAAACTTCAGTCTGACATGTATTCTATACTGACATGCATATCTGGAATCAGCAGGAGATACTACCATTGTAACCTCAATAAGATTTATTTCTTCTGGTTTTTGAAGTATCAGAAACAAATGTTATTTCTGCACTTCAGAATAAATCAGAAGAGTGCTTCTTCACTCAGCTGGGATCCAAAACGTAGCACCATTTTCCTATAAAAATGTGAGCAAATAATATTCCAAGAGGAAAGGTAAGTGCATGTACTGATACATTATTCCAAAAAGCCACTGTTTGTATCTGGGTTAATTAAAGGTGTAGTACAATTCAATGGAGGTCTCTCCTTTGAGAGTATTTTCTGCTGCAAGGGGAGAGGAACAGAGACTGAAGGCAAAGCCAGCTCAGTACAAATGCAACCTGCATGTCACCATGCTGGGTCTTCTCCAGCACACAGGCAGATCAGATGGTGTCAGTCTACACTGCACCTGGGGGCAAAATAGTACTCAAAAATGGGAAATTATTCAGGAAGATTTTGGCCTTAATACAGTAAGAAATGAAATACTAATCCTGCCGCCACTGCTGACAGCAATACCTCTACTACAGGTGGCTCTTAGGAATGTCTGAGTTCATCAGGTGTTTCCAGAAAAAGGCCTGTATCCTGTGCCAGGCATCTTCTTGTGCTCTGGCATGCTCCCTCCACTGCCCTCCCCACTGCACAAACACCCCAAGCACTTTGTGGATTGAAGACTGGCACAGAGGCAGATATGGTGGCTCCAAAAGGTGCCCTGCTCCAGAATAGGAGCAAAACTCCGCCTTCTGTCCACACTGATTAAGGCGCTGAACAGCATCCCGGCAGTAAAGGTCACTTTTCCAGTTCTTGTCATCCAGCCCTGACAGGAAAAGGAACTTGGCCAAGGACTTCTCCATGGGAATGCGACTATCCCAAGTCGCTGGGTCTCTGTGATCATCTAGGATATCTGAAAAATCTACAAGACCAGACTCCTCACTGGTCTTCATTCTCCCCAAGTCATATGGGTGGGCAGGAATAGTGAAGCCATCTCCCCTTAGGGGAATGAAAGAATTTAAGCCACTTCCAGATATGCTGACAGCTGCCTTGATGCCAGGTAGAAACGTGGCCATGGAAAGGGCTAGATCAGCTCCTTTAGACAAGCCCAAAACGCCAATCCCAGCATCTTTCACCTGAAAGACAGTTATGAAACAGCCATTATCAACTACTCATACCATGGGCTGGCATAACTTCTCTCCTTTTGCTTCTTTACTCTTCATTAAAATCTCCTATTTTTTCTTACCCATTCCTTTTCTCTGTTTGGTTACTATCAACCCCTTATTGATTCCCTCATAAGAGCAACTATGAATTCTACAGCTCCTCAACATCTCCTCCCCTCTAACACATTTTCTTCTTGGTTAACTCCATAGACAAAACCTCTTTGCTTCTTCAGCATCCTGGCTTGATATTTCCCCTCGGTGCTGTAATTTTACTGCTCTTGCCTCCAGAAACTCATCTTAATCTCTCTTCAGGCCCCCTGTGAAAAAACACTCTTCCATAGGTTTACTTGCTTTGATTGTCTTTCTTGACATTGTTTTTCAAAACTCTGCTACAGTTGACCTATTAACTTCTGTTACATCTTGGAGCACATAAAATTCATTATGCTTGAGGCTGAGTAAATTCAACAACTGTTTAAATGAATTTAATTATAGTGAAGGCTCTTCAGAACAGATTCACTTGTAATGTGCCCTGATCCTGTAAGACACTCTGGAAGTTTCACAGCTCTATGAGATACAACACAAACTGCAAGGTTGAATTTTGCTCTCAAAACTGACTAAATCCCTGGTATTCATGTGCCAGCAAACAATAATTTTGTTAACACCACATTAAGTAGCATTCCATTCAAAGCTTAAATTATACTTCTTCTAGTCTCTTTTACTTTAAGTATAATGATATATTGCTATAAGAGTATTTTTTTTCATTCCAGGTACTTACTCAAATATAATCCCAGCATTTAGAAACAAGGCATTCTCTCCCATTCTGCAGCTTCAAGAGATTCTGTTGTTAGTGTTCTGTTACTGCCCTATGAAACTTTGTCAGAATCAAAAATCTATATCTCAGAAATAGTGGAATAAGTCAATAGATTTTTTTCTCTTCTAAAATCTTGTAAAAAAATAAGATCATCTGCCTAAGCAGCACTAGTCCAGGAACTGTTTTGATGTAAATCTTATACAAATACTGGTTTGCATAATAACATTCCACAGGTGGCCATAAGGTGCTCTGCAAAGCAATCATCCAACTATCTGCAAAACTGGAGCTGAGGCACGTTCTTTTCCATTTAAGATCATACTGTCTTTCAGACATGCTGTCTCCCTCTTCACCTCAGAAACTCAGCTACATTCACTGATGTACAGCATTTCACACTAAGCAATTAGAAAATAGTTTACAGTAGGAAGAGTACCATAATTTGTCTCCTACCTGCTGCTGCTTATGCAAAAAGTCTATAGCCTCCTGAAAATAATCCAGTTCAAGAATCTCTGGCATAGCAGGCAGATCTTCAAAGGCCATGTAAGCCAGAGCTAGAGTCACAAAGCCTCTGCTAGCCAGAAGACTTGCTCTGTATTCAACAAGTCCTCCTCCAGATCCATACAGATCAATAAGACCAGGGAATGGTCCAGGCCCTGCAATGAAAGCAATATATATTTATATATATATATATATATATATATATACAGACTCACAGAGAAAAGTTTCTAGAGTTGTCCCTCCAGTAGCAACCACTCAAAATCCAACAGAACAGCAGGTATCAAAAGGAAATCATCCTCTGAATCTTTACATGTCAATTCTCAGGCACACACACAATCAGTGTCACTGACAAGTACTATTTCCTTAAGGATATATCACTGCAAGTCTCCTCTATGGATTATCTCAAACATTTCTATAAGCAGCACAAAGTATTGAATCTGACTTACAGATTCTCTCTCCACTGATCAGTTCTCTGCTATTTATGAAGCTGAATTCACCCTAGTGCCTAGTTCCCTAGCTGAGGGAACCATTAACAGCGGCCTTACTCCAGCTTGCTGAGTGTATCCAGGGGCCACAGGGAACGCACAGAAAACCAGAATGGGATTAAAACTCACCAGGAGGGAGGAAGAGAGTTGCTTTAAGCCGACCTTCTCTGACTGAAATCCTCTTCACTCCCTCTCCTAAAAAGCACCGCTCATGGGTGCATTTTCCCAGCAACCGGCTCATGTCCCCATGGCCCTCATATACTTCCAAGTCTACACAGAAAGGGGTCAGGACGTTCCTCTTTGCCAGCCGCTTATATGGTGTTTTGGACCGCAGAGACCACAGCAATCCCATGGGCTCCACTCCAGAATAGCTGCCCCCCAGCGCTGGGCAATGGGTCAGATCAAGCTCCCCACTGCCATCAGCCCTGTAGTGAGCGTGGGCTTGGAAGAGCTCCCCAGCCTCATCCAGAAGGCAGGCTCTGAGCGTGACCCTCTGCTGCGGCACGAGTCCCGTCACACGGATCTGAACGGGGTCGTCAAACAGACACCTGAGAGAAGGCAGAACGGTCACCTGCACCGCCATCGGGCTCCGTGGGAGGGGAGAGGAGCCTGCTGCTTTTGGTAAGACTCGGGCTGTGTGAAATGCGAATGCCGGGAGCCTGCGGCTTTCCAGGCTTAAAGTCTCTGCCAAAGTCCAGAAGGAAGCAGAGCGACAGCTTCCTCCCGTCAGCAAGCAAGGGCTGCTGGGAGATGCAGTTCAGAGTATGCTTGGCTCCAAACACATCGTCTCAGATGTCCTGCAAAAACTGACCTGCAGGGACAGAAGTTGTCACTTCCTCCTGGCATGCATTTTAGTTCAGGACATGTAAAGATTAAACTAGTAATTCTGAATCTCAAATGGCAAAAAAAGACAATCGCATTGTCTTGTGTCAGCTGCCTTTGTAGATTGTTTTTTTTCTTCACAGCAGTCAATCTTCTCTAAAGGGTATCTGTATTTTCCTGACTAACACATGTGAAATACATTTCCTATGTTTTTAATGAATCTTTGAAGATTGGCTGACAAATACCAACCTCCACCAATCCTAAACAACATTATTACATTTTTGCAATATCCGTCTATTTAATAGCCTTGCATTCCTGCCCTGCAAGTCTCAGACATGTAGTGAGAAGACTTGTCTTGTTCAGTGGAAATACAGAGCAGAATTAAGGCTATAGGAACAAGTTCCTGCCTAACACAACTTGACTGACTGCGTGTTAGGCTGGTGATAAAAGTATGTCCCAGTCATCTCCCCACAAACTGCTAAACCATGTCCAATCACAAGCCCACAGGTGATATCCAGACTTACTGCAGACATGGCAAAAGGAACTCTAAAACCACCGAGGGTGTAAGAGAATGAAACTACATTTAAATATGAAAGTAAAACAAAATCAAAACAGGTAATGAAAACACGGATTAACAGGGACAGCTGCCACCACTGTCATTTCCATATCCTTCTAGATGGTCGTATGCATCACACTGTTTGAAAGATGTCAGAATTAGCACCAATGTAAGCTTTTAAACTGACCTTTTATTGCAGAAGTTGTAATTTCTCACCATCAAAACACCACAGCCACTGAACTTAATGAAACACAACCAGACATGCCTTTAGCCTTAAGCCGAACAGATGTGTTTGGACCGATGCAGCCTGATGCATGGGGGTAGCAGAGCAGATCCTTCCTTGTCCATTTGGCTTGTTAGGAAAACAACCTGTAGATCTGAATGAATGTCATGGTTTCTGTTTAGGGATTTCGAAAACCCAGATTCCTTCCCTTCAAATTTTATTTTGCTCGCCATCACCAATGCAATGTGCAAAGATCTAAAAACTCTGATGCCAAATCTTCTTCTTACAAGCCAGAAAATCTGGCCAATTGACCCGAGATTCTGAAATCAAACAAAATAGCCATGATTTGTCCAACAGATGTTGAGTAATTCAGTGCTTAGCTTTTTTCACTTGTATCCTGCTCCAATTCCAGTCACAGACGCTGATGACTGCATCACACAAGAGAGAAACTGCAAGTTCCAGTGTTCCACCTCTGTTATAACACTTTCACAGCTTTTGTAAGACAATCTAGCAGTTGATAATAGCTGTACTTTAGGTCATATTCCATGTCATACCAATAATTCACTGAGGAGAAAAAAAAAAAGAAAGGCATTCCTAAAGCTGTAACGTAATGATTTGCAAGCATGTTTACAGACAGTTTTAGACAGCCCAGCTAGTAGAGGTTTCCCGTTCTTAGTGACCAAACTTTGAAATGAGCAGAACTGTGACTACAGCCAAACATAAGGTAAGCAAATATTTGAGTTCTTTAGCAGCGCTGCCAATGCAACTCTGTCTTAACCAAACTAACTCCTCTTCAGACTCTATACTGGGAATTCCTTGGAGCAACATTAGGCAAACTCTATATGAACACAACACGTCTGCTTCTATATAGATCAAAACCAGCAAACACACTGCAAAGTTTAATATCTAGGTAGAAACTTTTCCTTTTCTGAGTGTGTAACAGACGGCAAACTCACCATTACTTTAGAACAGTCATTAATGAGACAGTGCCATAATTCTGCGTCTCATTTAAATTTGGTGTAATGTCTGCTAAAAAAAAATTAAACAATAAACCAAGCAGTATAAAACTGTACCAATGGTTCTTGGAGAAGAATATACACTAGTTTCAGACACTCACTGGACCAAATCCAGACAACATTGATTTTCCAAGCATATACAGACTGCAGTGCAGTTAACAGCTAACAGGCCAAATAAACACGGCAACCCTTTAGTATTTGTTAGACAGAAAAAAAAAAGAGTGGCCAGAGGCTTTCAGCTGGAAACAACTCTACTTTTTCTAAGCAGTCTTCAAGGATTGATGCAGCAATACTGGGGAAAACAACTGGAAATACTACTTTACAGCTAGCTTGTCTTTTTATCATGGTATCACTGATGCTAAAAAAAAAAATGGCTTCCAATATTTGCACTGTAGCACAAATACTAATCTTGTTATTCACAACACTTTATTACTTTGCCTGGGCAGGCAGAATTACTCTAAGCAAAGGATAGTAAAAAAGCTTCTGCAAACCTGGCAAAATTTATAGGACATAATGATAATGCTTCATACTAGCTCCCACCCATTCCCACTCCTCCACACGCAATGCTTGAAATTCTTAAACATTCTTGGGAAAGGAGGGAAAAAGAAAAAAACAGAAAGATGAAGATACATCCTACAAAGAAAGAGAAGGCAAGACTTTCGATAAGCACAGGGGAACAGTAAAACAAGCATGAGCTCATTAGCAAGGTACAGACAGAGTCAGAGCAGATTCCAGTTCACATAACCATGGAGCAGCTTTCATGTTGTGTCTACATCCATGCCCAAAACTCATACACTTTCTGATTTCCTTTTCTTCCTCCAAAGCATTTTTTATTGATGTGCTGATGTCACTTACTACATGCAGGTTCCTTCTGTCTATGTAAATTTGCACTGAGCAGACTGGGCAACTGCTCTATACCATAAACAAAAACTGAATTAGCTTTCATAACAAAGACTTTTTTTTCTGCCACATCCCTAACAGTTGTTGACAATCCTAAAGACTATAACCTAAGTAGACTTCAAGAAGTTCTCAAGGCACAGAACAGAATCAGCTCCTTTTGAGATTATTTCTTCCTGAAGGGAGGCAGATGATTTTGTAGAGACCTTTGGTATCGGTTACATTTTGCTATGCTGTATCTACCTGCACACTCAGCACAGTTCAAAAATATATCTGGAAATGCCATTTATTTTACCTGCTATACAGCCGTGTGATTGCTGAACATGGTGGAACCAGAGAGAAGGGAGGTATAACATCTCACCAGCTTTCACTGTACACTGCAAAGGTTTTGCCTGAGCATACTCTGGATATTGTTCCAGATTCGGGTTCAATGGGTCCAGGGGGATCCAGGGCACCTAAAAGCAAGAGTATGTATATGGCAATAACCACAGCAAGCATTTCCAGCAAGATTCCAAAGAAACAACTGCCAGTTAAACTTTCTAGTTATGCAACAGATATTTTGCCTAGAAAAACATGACGCATTGCTCGCTTTCCACATTCAACTGGGAATAGGTCAAGGATGCAAAAATCTGCCTCTTTCAGTGAAGTATTTCTCATTATGGAAAAGCTGCTAAATGTCAAACATCAAATTTAAACCTTGTGGCATAACTTTCAAAATGCCTTAGAAATTTTAGGAATTCCTTCTCTTCTTAAAGCTTCTCATCTACATTGATTCCTGACAGCCAAACATCCCCCTTCCTGCTTGCACATCCCTCCTGCCTGCACTAACTTCTTCTATGTCCAACGGTTACAAACCTAAGCACCTCACCTCACTGAATTACAAGAAAGCTTCTGTGAGTTTCTAGGAGCACGACTCTGGAAACAGAGAGAACATCCCAGCTCGAGTTCAGCTGTAGCATTAGCACATACCACAAGCAAAAAGAGAGAGGATACTATTCGTAAAGTGCCTCCAGGTCCATATATTCTAATCAAACACATATTGCTACAAACTAAGAAACCACAATCTATTCATTGCTATATATATGTATTATTGCACTGGGTGATAGTGCTTTAAAGTAAAACCAACTTCTTTATTGTTGATCCACTAAAAAGTCCTTTATTGGAACTATTTCAGTTTGGTGTAAGGCAGACAACATGTGACATCAATGGTTTCAGGAGTGCATGTGTATTTTTGGAGGAGTCTGTATATGTATTTTTCCCCCTGAAAACCAGATATCCTTTGCAAATAATAAAATACAAATGCAAATCTGGTTACTCTTTTAAACAAAGAAGAATTTCTAAATACCTATCAAAAACCTCAGTTAGCTCAGCAGTGTCCAAACCTTTACTTTAAAGCTTTACTTTACAAACTGACTGTGTTCTTTGTATCATTTTTACCTTATCTGCAGTCTTCTCATCCACAATTTCAAATGAGCCATCTTCTGATACTTTGTAAGTTGCTGCCTGATAAAGCTCTGCAATCACAGAAAGAATTAACTGGCACAACTGAGAGTTGCACTCAGACATACTAATAGAAGGACACATCACATACACACAGTTAAGAAAAAAAGACAGCATTCTATTTTCTGTTTTCTTCTTAGATCAGTCTAGCAAGATAGCCAACACCAGAGCTGTTCACATCTTGTGGTTAGTCTCTCACTTCTCATTTTATCCTAAAGGAGTTCTTACCTGCTTCAGACAGTGCAAGCTGCTTTGCTTCCACTGCTTATGGCTTTTCCCACCCCTCAGGGAGTTATAAAAAGACAGTGACTCTTTTCCTATACCCTACCAAATGTGAGTATCACTCTCCTCAGTTAACAGTAACTTTTTTTTACAAGGCATGAATTATATGACAACACTGTAAACAAAATAAAAGCAGTGTAATTACAATATCAGAGCCACTCTAGTACTGAGACAGAACTGTATTAATGCCATATGGCATTTTACATTCAGTTAATCTGGATATTTGAAAAAGCAAGGAATGGGGGAAAAAAATCTCAATAGGCACACTGTTAAGCTGTCAGCAGACTTTTGCAACAAAACAACTCACTGTGTACTCAAGAAAACAAGTAAAGAGAGAAACAGGAGAAGCAAAGTAATGCTGCCTTAAGAGTCTCTTTTTTCATTTCCCTCGTTTTCAAGGATTGTTAGTAACTTCAATATTTCATTAAATTACAACTTGCTTTTCAGTTTCCTGGCCTTTTTCTAGAGACAAAAAAAGATCAGGCAGAATCCAAAGCTGTTAAACACCAAAGATGATGGCGTGCTAAATACTGACAAGATATAGGACACAAATATTTTGATGCTGAAGAGACTGCCATGAGTGTCATAGAATCACAGAATCATAGAACAGCTTGGGTTGGAAGGGACCTCAAGGATCATCAAGCTGCAATCCCCCTTCTGCATGCAGGGCCTCCAATCTCCATATCTAATATGAGACCAGGCTGTCCAGGGCCCCATCCAACCTGACCTTGAACATCTCCACAGATGAGGAATCCACAGCCTCTCTGGGCATTGTCAATGAACCTATACAGGACGCAGAAACCTGACCTCAGAATAATGTTTGTCTTACAAAACCACATGCTGCATGCAATAGGAGATTTTTGTACACACTGGAAAGAACAACACTGCATAAGCAGGTTCTCTCTGCTTTCATTTTTATGTCCTTCAGTATTTAAACCTCTCCTTCCAGACTTTAGACATATATGCATAGCAAATTCAGTACCGTATGGAATGAAGGGACGGTCACTTGGTGGATGCAGTAGAAACCTTTTCTCTCCAGATATCACACAGTACAAGTTCTCATAATGATCTTTATGTACTAAGATTGAGGAGAAAAAAGATGTGGAGAGAGAGAAAAAAAATCAGTGCTCTTTCCTTCTCTACATCAGAAACG